TTCTCTGTTGACACCCACCCCTTGACGCTCATATGACCTTATGCAGTTGCGAGCGCCGTAAAACCATCTACTATAATATAAAATAAAATAAACTATCTTTCGACCCCAAAAATACACATCTATCTTGAACAGAAGTCGAGATATGTGCAAACAAAAGAGGCTGGGGTCGCCCGGTTTCAGAGGTAAAATAAGCGAGAAAATGCCGTTGATTTTCCAAAGCTTGAGAGTTCTAAAAAACTGAAAATTTACATTTTTGTGTGCTTTAATCAACGTTTTTCATTAAAATCCTAACAGTAATTTGTTTTACCAAAACATATCACGTGTTGAGCCAAATAACAGAAAATTGATAAAAAATTACTGAACAGGCAAATATAAAAATGCTTTTTTTCTTTGAATTCAATATTTTAACGAGCGCCAGGTTTCACTACGATGCCTCTCATAGGATAAATAATGTATCGTTGTAATCCGCACTGGGAGTTGACTACTCGTGTCGACCCCCACTCGGTGTCAAGTATAGATGAGGGACAGGCGCGGTTCGTCCATGGAGCACGGTCGTGCAGTGCCGCCCAAAATGTTTTATTGTTCTATCACGTAAAACACCCACAATAATAAAGTAAAAGAAGCCAGAAACAAACACTAGCTAGATATCAAAACAAGGTCCTCAAAGGCGCCATAACTGTCATTTCTGTGTCTGTAGCGCCGTAAAACATCTACTATACTATGCCAAAGTCCACGCGCTTTAGATAAACATAATAGTATATTCAACGGTGTAACCTGACCAATAAATCGCTCTTGGGGATAACCCAAGCGATGACGACACTCGTACCGAGTTTGGCGGTACATTAATATTAATAAGACGGCACATCTCAAATGTGCTCCTGCCGAATAGTGCCGAAACATAGCCCACAGTAGGCAGTCTAAAAATAAGCTATTTTTCTTCCCGAGTAAGTTACGCTAAATTAATAATTGGCCTACGCCATGTCCCCCCCCCCCTCCTCAAATTAGGAGCTTTATTTGTCCGTTGCTCTGTTTGAAGAATGAAATAGTACTGCATCAGAACATAGTTTTTAGTACCAGGGAGAAAAAAAGTAGATCATTGCGTGGTGGTCGCTGTTGTTGTCCTGACAGCTGTACGATGTATTGTTTTCGAAAACCTTCTCCATCCAATCTGTCGCTGTATCAGGAACAACACAGAGGTCGCGCGCGAGTGACGTGGGGAGGTGAAGCGCACGGTCTATTGTGCGTGAGCAGATTATATTACTAATACAGGAAAATAAATGGAGAATTGATGCCTCACACGAGCTAAACACGTCGTATGTATCTGGCGCAGCATGTGGTCCAGGGAAGGGAAACATCAACCAAAAAGGTTGCTGTTTTTGACCGGTAATGAGACCGAATGTCTCATGTACAAAAGTCTCCTTGGAGCCCAGACAGGGATTGTTAATGGATCGCTCGTATTTAAAAAGCTGTGATTGTTTGTGAGAAGTATTCACGAATATAAGATTGTGGAAAAATATTTGTATCACATATTTCTATTGCATCACTTATATACACATATGCATATATAA